CATGTATCTTCAGATTTTGGGTGATCAAGGTTGTGTTCAGTTCTGTCAAATGCATCACAGTCGTTAAGTCTTTCTTGTCCCTAGACTAAACTAATTTCCATATGGTCAACGTAGGCCTACGATGAAGGCCACCTGGATGCTCCATTTATGGTAGAGCACATCTGTTTGCCAGCAGGCAAGATAGGGCAGCAAAAGTTTTGGAAAATCCTTTCAGGCACTCTGGAATGGATGATGACCACTCTCTGGAAGGTCTTCAAGCAGTCATTTAAGTACGTTCAACTGCAGACTCACGGTTACTTTAAAGCCAAGCCAAGACAGGGTTGCTAGTGAGGGGGACAGTCTGACCTTCCTGGTGTTCTGGGGAGCATCACCTCTATCGGCTACCCTGTGGGGTAGGCAGGGAGCTCATCCAGCCCAGAACCAACCCCTGCATGTGTTTATTTTACTTTTTTCCGATTAGAACAGCTTCTCGGTCTGGCTGACTGACCACACAAGCACCAGGAAGGCAGCTGAAACTGCCTGAGACAGAAGAAATAAGGTGAGATAACTCCAGAACAGTTTAAAACGATCATGAAACAGCAACCTCAAGTATTTCTGAAACTACTTGTTTCAGAAATACTATGCCAGAAACTTCTTAACAGCAGTATCTACAGAAAAAAATTTGAGACAGCTCTATTTCTCTTCAAAAAGAGTTTAAATTTCAGCACTGGATGTAGCCAGAAGAACATGGTAAAATAGGAAAAGTCTGGACATTAAAATCTAACTGCAGGCTCTGCTTTTTTACTAGTCTACTCTTAAGATTCTCCTGTCTTAACCTACCCTAGGAAAGCAATAGTAGGGACCTCACACATTTACTTTCTAGAAACTTTCTAGAACTCAAACATTTGAGAAGATGATAGGAGCAGCTTTTACCAGAAGAAACTTACAAAGTTGCTAGGGCAACTAATAGGACATCATAAATAATTTTTTGAGTATAACATTAAAGTGGTTTCCCAAGAGTGCACTGAAAACCCAACGGAAAGAAAAAGAAAAAGAAAAAGAAAAAGAAAAAGAAAAAGAAAAAGAAAAAGAAAAAGAAAAAGAAAAAGAAAAAGAAAAAGAAAAAGAAAAAGAAAAAGAAAAAGAAAAAGAAAAAGAAAAAGAAAAAGAAAAAGAAAAAGAAAAAGAAAAGTTCTAAGGAAACCAACAAGCAACTATTTCTGCTTGTGCTGATTTAAAATATTTTCTAATGGCTAAAGAAATTCTATAATAAATAGCTTTTTTTATTCAGATGAGCTATTATAGGCCAAATGTTAGCCTGGAATGAATATTTATAGCAGAGTTTTAAGTCCTTGAAAATAGGGATTTATATTTATAATGGAAAGGCTGACGAGTTCTTACCATAGCTGTATTAGCAGACAGACCTATAATAAAAAGGTGTCATTTTAACAAGAGCACTTATAATGGCAGTATAATGTAGTTAGGAAAGAATGAACTTTACAAGGTGAATGTACAATTTAACACAAATATTCATGCCAGAAAACTAAATAGCAGATCATAAGAACAGTCTATTTAGCATATATTTTCACATAGACCATCTGATTTTATAGACTCTCACCAAAAAGAAATACAACACATTATTCCATAAATGAGAATTTTTAAAGTCTTCATCCATTTTAATAGCTGATATCTTACACAAAGTCATATTTCCCTGGAAGAAGTTTATAAATAGAATTCAACAGATTCATAAACTGCATCAATGGTACTCAGTGGACTAACAGTGTAATACTAGTAAAAGTAGTTGCACATGCAAGCTCAATCAATTTCAGGATTTTTTTTTTTTATTGCATGTCACTTAAAGCATTATAACACTGTGTCCTTTAAGGCATTAATTACTGAGAGGAAAACATCTGAAACACTCCCTGCACCCCAAAGTTTGGGGAATCCTAAGTGGAAATCTAGGGTTTTTTTGTTTTTTTTGTTTTTTTGTTTTTGTTTTTTACAAATCACGTGAGTAAAGGCTGTTTAAAAACTGGGATTAAGAGTTTCCCTCCTCCCTTGTATCAGCATAAAGCCAGAAAAACTAGCTTTGTACAAAGAGCTAGGCTGATACAATCCCCTCCCAACTCAGACTAGAAGCTAGCCAGGGGTATTCAGAAACATCATTTCTGTAGCTGCTATTAAAGCCTATAGCCAGGGTAACTGTCACAGCCCTAAAGCTCTTAACATAAAAGGACTCCTATAAAACGATTCAGTCATCAGCATCATCTCCTCTGTCTGGTTCTTATACTTGTAGCTAGTCTCTTCAAAGCTGTGTCAGAGCTCCTCTGCCTGACATAGACAAGAGCGTATTTCACAGGGTGAGCTGCAGCTCTCCCAGTAACACCAACCGGCCAGCCACATGCGCCGTGTGCATGACTGACAACACAAGGAACCACATGCTTCATCCTACGAGTCCTTTTTCACATCACAGCCCTGCCCAAACTGCCTCTTTTGTGGTATTACTGTCACATCTTCACAAAAAATAATTCTCTGGAGCTGTGATAGCATCTAGACTGACAAGTGGTCTTTCCAAAAAGAGAAAAAGTCACTGCAAGCAAGTATTTTTGTGAAGTACTCCCTGTAGGGCAATAAACCTGTCAGTCAATAAATATAAAAGCCTTAGTTTCACAAACACTTACACACCTGCTTAAATTTAAGCCTCTAAGTAGTCCCTCTGAGTGTCAGTAGGCCTTCCCACTTAAAACTAAACAAAATCCATAAGTGTTTACAGGATCAGGAAATGAAACACAAAAGTTGCTGGTCTTCTATACCATCTAGAAGAACTAAAAAAGAAAATTCCTCTAGTTTGAAAGAGTAATTGTAAAGGAAGACAGTGTGTGCCTGTTTCAGGGCTGTTAGGAAAGCAATACAAGACAGAAAAGAACATCTACATAATTTTTCTTTATCTTTATTTCAAATTCAGGATTGTCTTTTGCTCTCTCCTCCTTTTTCTTACTTTGGTTGTTGTCCATCTATGGACAAACTTGCATCTCTTACTTGTTTTTAATTTGTCCATTTCATTTTGTAATTAACATTAAGTAGCCTGAAATTGCTGCTGATCTTTCAATGTCAAAAAATCATTTCTGGGGAAAAGAAAATATAGTGTATCTCTTGATAGTTTAAATAATGGCTTCCAGTCAAGACTGAGGCAAGAATGAGGCAGTCAATTAAGTTTTCTCCAGACCTCACCAAGGACATCTCCACAAAACTTACTGGAGTTCATTTATTTCTTCCACCGAGGTGATACTTGCAATGCTAGATGACAAGACCTAGAGCCAGTAAGCATGTAATAGAGATAATGTGAGAAGGTATACACATCTCAAGGAATGTACAGTGACCAGCCAATGGGGCTCTAAAAGAAGTTAGGGCAATCGTAAAGGCATTGAAAATAAAATAGGAGAATCCAGTGTGGACTTTAAATAGTCCAGTAGAAAAATTACCTTGATACACACTAATCATACAGAAATATCTTTATATACAGGTATTTTAAGTAACGTGTAATACTTTTAATTAAGCTAGAAATATATGCAACATTATTTTAACATACAAATATATATATATTTCAGAATCAGGGTACCAGATAGGCATGTTTTAAATAACCATTTGGACAACTGCAATCCCTGCAAAGTGACAAATGCAACAGCAGCTTTCCAATACTTCATTGACCAGAACTGGAGGTTCAGTTGGTTTTTAAACACACTCCCTTCGTGGATGACAGTCTACACAAAGACAAGAGCTCTGTTCATCATACAGAAAATGATTTTTATAAATCATTTTTCCTCTAACATCAATATGAAAAGTTGGTCTTCTTTCTTTAATATCAGATTAAAATTTTTCTTCCTACTGAGATTGATCTTTGAGATCTAACCCATACAGTTCTTGAAGCAAGAGGAAACAGACACTCCTCAAGACACACAGTGCTACTGGATTTTCTGAAATACAATCACGAGCTTACTACAGAACTTTTTCATTGTGAAAGCCTTATGCATCTTGCAGCTATACATTTCATTTTTTCAGTTGAGAGTGCTACATCAGCAGCTGAAGGAATGTACATTAATTATATAGCAACACATTTCATTGTCTCATTTCCAGATATAGAAAAATACAACATAAATTCAAATCTAGATCCTGAGAAAGTGTCGGCTCCTTAAATTCTTAACTCTTAAAAAAAAAAAAAATCAGAAAACTGAGATCCTGATTCAATGAAAGCTGATGTCTCTCAGCACCTCGTCAGCATGCTCAGCCAAATTCAATCACACTGTCGATCAGCACCTGGTATTGAATAGCCATTTCTCTGTAAAAGTGACTAATTCCCTTCAAAAAGCTGGGTAACTCAAAGTGCTCACCTCACAGTGCACACATGTTTCCTATTAAAAACCATCAGGAAGCAAATACATGTATCTGAGGAATGAGTTGTGTTTCTTTGTGCATGTTTGTTCCATAAAATAAATTTTTTCCATCCTATGAAATTGAGCAGCCTTATGTCCTCTGCAGACAATGGAAAAAAAGTCATCGACTTCAACATGCTTTAGATCAGACCCTCTGTACTTAATTCTAGCTGTTCCAGATGCAGATTTCTGACTGCCTAATGTGGGGTTAGTCACTTGAAATCATTCAGGGCTTTTATAGCACCTCATTATGCATGATGCAACTTCTTTCACAATAAATTCTTTCAAATAAAGCTTTTGTTCAGAGAAACAAGCTCATGATTAATTCACTATTCATATTTAAAAATTGCACCCTATTCTACAGAAGGTTAAAGGTGAATTTACTGAAACTAATTACTGAAATCAATTCACCAAGTTAGTTTCATAAAAGTATGTCTGTGTAAATTTATTTGGGGAAAAATAATCATATGAAACATTCTGAAAGAAGTTCAAGGAGGTAAATCCATATATAACACTTTAAACTGTTGATATTACCATGAAGTTATGAAAGCATAACAAAAAAGAACTAGACTTTTAAAAAATCAGTCAGAGGAGGAATGTTATTACCCCAAGGAAAACAAGAGAATTTACCAAGTCAATTGTTTCCTCCTTGCTTCATGGAGGATCTACACAGGACCTTTTTTCAGGCCACTTTTTGATTGGTTTCTTTGTAAAATTGTAAAGTAAGAGCACACACACATCAATAGATCAAATAGTATTAGACCTATCCACTTCAAGTTATTTATATCTTTTTCCTACCATAAATATCTCAAGATAAAGGAGAACTATTACAGCATCTTGTCTGTTCCTTTCCAAACGCAGTATCTTTCCAAACTTAGTTGTTGCTGCTTTCTCCTTCTGCTTTCTGACCTAGCTTTCATTGGATTGCAATCCAAGGTCACTTGCAAGTTTTATTTATCTCTGCTTTTGGCTTGAGAGATTGAAGTTGTTGCACAGTTTCTCTTCCAGGTCTCTCTAGTTTTGCTTCCACAGTCTTGCTATGCAGTAACCGGCCACCACTGCAGCTATTTAATTGGCTGGTTTCAAAACTCTGTGGGTTCTCTGCAGACAGCTCGGATACACACAGATCTCAAGGGCAGAAGGGATCACAGTGAACATCCGTCATAGCATAGCACAGTCCATAGGACTTCTCTTCATCAGCTCCTGCTTAAAATTGAATGGTTATGCTTGAATTAGCCCAGAGCTTTTAGGAAAAAAAACAAACAGCTATATCAGTATAAAAGCTACCTGTGCTAGAGAATCCAAACTAGCCTTTATTGTATGAAAACCAGCACCCTGGAATCAAAGTGCTTTAATTTCAGAATGAATTTTTCTGACTTCAGCTATTAAATATCTATTCTCTAAAAGCTCATTAGAAACAATATTATTAAAACAATTTAATAGAGGTTACTCTCATTCAGACAAAACATCTTGTCAGAGAGGAGTTAACTAGTTAAATGCCATTGATAAAAGATTTCATTTGTGATAAATTGAATTCATTGTCATACACTTGGGGAGATTCCAAAGTGATTAACTCTTTCTCAAGACTGTTAGGCAACATTCATCCTCTCTGCACTATTTCCACTCTATTTTCCCATGAACAACTAAAATTCCACTCATTTCTGGCATGGAGGTAACAGGCATTATTATTGATTATAGATCCCCTTTCTTCTGAAAGCAATTCCTTCAGAGAGCAATCCTGCAGAAATTAGAGTTACGGCCATGGTTTAAACCGTGTGATCGAGTCAAGGTATGGCAATTTCTAGAGAAAGTCCTGAGAATCAAGTCCCTCCTGTTGTATCTGCCCACAACATTTGGTTGAAGAAAAAAAATGCACCTCCTGACTACTGAATGGCTGTCCTTCCCACTTGTTCATAAGCACTTCAGTATAACCAGTATAAAAGGTCCAAAATACTTAGATATCTACTCACAATATATTAAACTGAAATCCAACTATTTTATCTCATGTCTTTTCTATCTTTATTTTGGATAGTTGACAAAAATCAAATTTCACTCAGTTTTACTACAGCAAAAGGTAGCAAACTACATTTCCTCATCTTACAGGACACTATAAGGATAAGTGCTTTAGGTAAAACAGTGCTGAAGATCACAGAAACGAGCTAACATGAATAGCTATAGACAGAAGATAGAAGGCTCAAAATAAAGTTGAGCCTCTCATTCCTAACAAAGTACTTGAGTATTTATCCTTCTTATAAAAAAAAGGGGGGTGGGAAAGGTGGGAGAGGGAAAAGGAAAGAAAAAAAGCAAATGTGACTAGTCTGATTTGAACTATTTGCAAGTTTAAAGTAGGCTGGGATTTTGGTTATTTATTTGCTTGGGCAGAAGATTCCAAGGAATTAAGAATCTCTTTCTTGCTGTCTTAAACTGAATACTAAACTCAGGTGAGATTTAGTAGTTGTAAATAGAGAATAGTCTAAAATTTCTAAAATAATATTGCAAGTGATAGCCTGCTCTTCTTTAAAATTTTTCATGCATATTTAATAACATGTTTTATTCTTTTAAAGAAAAAAAAAACACAAAAAAACAAGGATTCCTTCATCTTCTTTTTATCTCCGTCCAGCTCTCAACCTATGACTCAGGCTCCTAAACTCAAGGAGATTCTGATGGGACTAGGATAACCAATAACTACTTACCTCCACTGTTAACTCCTTCCAGCCTCCCTAAAGTTACAGCAATGGTTTATGAAGTCTTTATCATGTCATTAAATTGTAATGGTTAACTACTAAAACCTGCACAGAGACCTATGCTGTTGGCAACCTTTACACTTCTTTGCAACAGAGGAGTACTGAGTCATTCACAGATGAATAGGGATGATGAATGGCATCAAATTATAATTAAAAACTAGGTAAGACAAGCCTCAGTGCTCTATATCTGACATTTATTAAGAATCTTATTTAAAAATGCTTTCCAGCATTTATTTTGCTTGGCTAGTGTCTTTCTCCATTATAAATTCTTCCTCCGTATTGACAATGCCCTCCTGGCAGGGACTTGAGCCAGCTGTTAATGGTTTTGTGGCTGATGGGGAGGAGGGGAAGGCTGTGTGTCCTTGACATGTCACTAGAATAAATAAATATTTTTAGAGAAGTATGTGAGCTTAGATACTATAATTTTTAGCTGACAGATTAGGACAACTGGGTTGAGAATATCCGACAGCTACATATAGTCTGATTTATAAAACTGAGCAGGAAGGCATGACAGACATATGTGTTTATTAAAGATAGATTTATAAAATATCCTCATTTATTTGACAACTCTGCCAGCTAAGACCTCAGGAAGTCCAAAGATATTATGCTGTACATACCACCATGACACTACAGATCTGGTAGAAGTTAAAAATCAGAAATATATGGTTTAGTGCCTTAAATTTATAAATTATATGCATACCTGTGAATGCTGTAAAAACATAGCATATCTTAGAATAAATTACAGAATCTGAATCGTTCCACATACTTAATGGATTAAAAAAAAAGCGTTCTCAATTATGGTGTTTTCTAATACTTCTCGTACTACTATTCTTCATTCAAGTATATATCTGGAACAACATTTTTTATGGAATCCTAACATAACAGTATTCTTGCTACTTATTAAACTGGAGAGCCAGCCTGTACAAATTCAAAGCAAAAAGGACATGCACAAGATTTTTTCCAGAAAGTTGCTTAAAAAACACTGTCTACAGCAGTGCGACTAGTGGTACGTCTACCACTGAAATAATACTCTAGTCTATCCTGTTTTTGAAACTCATCTTTCTCAACGTAGTCTCTCTCGATTGATCTCAGTTTTATCTATCAGCCAATATTTCAGAAAACCAGATAAATTATACTTTATTTTTCTTTCCCTGGCTCCATAAAATTAGTACTTTTAAAATATATTAGGTTTTCAGAGTTTTTTTCTGACATAACCATCCTTCTAAGAGACTAAAAAATATTAATTGATCATCTAGCCATTTGGCATTGACCTCTGCTTCCAGCAATTTGATAATTTCAAGTAAGTGAAACTGTACACCTCAAATACCTACCTGAAGTGCTGCAGCTACAAAAATACCTCTATGTGCTTCACTTTATGGCAGAACTGTAGCCCCAACGCCATCAGCGCAGCTACTGAGAGCATTGCAGTTCAGATGTGTGCAAAATCAAGCATGTGTGACTGTCACTGCATCTATTATATGATGCGCATCATGGGGTTCGACCGTGTCAAACCATGAGAGAGAAACTTCCTCCTCATTTTAAAGTGAGGCAAAACTTTATGGAACTTCATCCCAAGAGATGGTGAAAATCTTTCATTCCTGCTAAATTCTTACTACACTTTCAAGCTTTCTTCAAAATGTAAACCTTTTTTTATTTTTTTTTTTCTGGGGGGGGGGAGGCGGAAGGGAAGATAAGCATGAAGATTTAGAGCTTTTATACTTTTTGATAATGATGCCAAAGAAGATAAATTATTTTGCAGAATTTTAATGCCATCTCTCCCCCATCTTTTCTGATGAAATTCAAAGTATCAACCAAATCTTCTTAAAACAGGAACGAGCCTTTACCTATAGGCATTACATTTTCAGTGTAAGTCTGTACAGCAACAAGGCCAGTATAATCTCCATATAGATAAATATGGTAAATCTATATAAATAGCATTAAACGTGTCCAGAAATCTCAGCACACTTTGGTTAAGCCAAACATTTGTACTGTTAAAAATATTTTACACCCTCTTACTAAGGAGGGTCATTGAACCATTACTGAACAAAGAACCCAAGCTTAAAAACTAAAGTGCTAGCCCTTCCAGAAAATTTTTTACTGACTTGAGTTGCTGTAACTGAAGAAATAAGTTTCTCCTTCTTTGCCAATACTTTCTACCCAGGAAGAAGAAATGTAAACTTACTTTTCCTCTTTACCCCTCCAGATACAGATTTTTCTATTCATTTTTTCCAGATAGAATAAGTGGAAAACTTTCCCTTTTGTATCTAGCATAACACTGCAAAGGAAACAAGAAACCAAGCGAAAGAGGCACGCCAGTTGGCAAGATAAAAAACAAATAAATCAAAAAGCCTCACTCTTTTATATAATGAGAGTCTGAGACAATCCAAAGTACCTGAGTGCAAACCAAATCTAATAGTTATTTTAAACACATAGCTCAAAACTATATTAGTCACAAACAAAGTGAAAGTCTTATTCTACTTTTCTGCAGTCCAACCTTTCTTCTGCCTTTTTCCAGGCTTCTCCTTTGGAGAAATGGTTATCACTCTTGTCCTATTCTGAGAAAACCCTTCATATTTTTTGGTTCTCATCTTTCTTATGGAGAAAAAAGCAGCAACTCCAAGATGAAAGAAATATTGTGTATCAGTGGACCATAAATTAGTAACTTTGATAAATGAGGAGAGAGAGTAGTGAATAAGAAAGTGAAACATCAAACAAAGTAAAAACAGCAAGAGGTAAAGAAATGCAAAGCCAACCATTTTTCTGAAATCAATTTTCTTTGTTTTCTCCAGAGGGTAGCATTAATTTTTGGACTGGAGTGATTAAAAGCCATTCATTACATACTTCTGCAAGATTTCAAGCTCTTAAAAAAAAAATCCTTCTGTGATTTTGCTATATACCTCAGGTCCAACGTGTTTGAAAATAAAGTACCAGGATGACTCAGATGCATGCTAATATGATAATAGAGGTATATTTACATGGTAGTAGAAGACATAGATTTGTCATGAGTAAGATTTGCCCCTCTGTATGGAGTGAGAGAAAAGAATAAAAACCTCCCATAAAATCTGCAGCCAGGTGAAGGAAGGAAGAAGGCTTTCAAAAAGGTGATTACCATTTGAAAATGATGTCAGCAACAGAAAAAAAAATTATCCACTGAAAAGGCTTTTTACTATATAGTTTACTATTGAGAAGCTCACTTCTTTCTTTGGAGTAAGGATGAGAATTTTAGATGTATTAAGATGTTTGATCCCAACTGATCATGGTGAGCTTGCTAGTTACTAAAATAAATAAAATAAAAAAAAAAACTTTGCAGCTCTTAAAATGAGAATTAAATTAATCTTCAGTTGGGAGTGCTAGAGCCAGGCTCAAACCCCACTAGGACAAATGTCTCACTTAACTCTACTCAGCGTTAAAGCCCAAAATCTTTAATGGGAGCTTTCACAATTTGTTGAGAAGCTATAGGTT